TAGTTGTGCTTTTAAAGTTGTAGCAACGTTTCGGCAGAATCTCATCTACCATCATTAGGCTTCTGTATTCTGTATTGCAATACAGAAGCCTGATGATGGCAGATGAGATTCTGCCGAAACGTTGCTACAACTTTAAAAGTACAACTACAATGACGTGGGAAAATACCCGAACAAAGCTGAATACCATATATATATATGTTCTCCCATTCCTAAATCACAAAAATGAAGAGGCATGAACCTGTCTCTAGTCAAAGTAGAGAGCCTAAGAGGGACTGGTCACGTGGCCACCTCAGCTGATCCAGAGAGTGAATTGTTGCCTTTGTTTTTCCCAGCCATTGTTTATGTCCTGGACAAAAAGATTGATTGTCATCTCTGTGGACACAGAAAAGTCTAGCAAAGAAAGGAGAGCCTGTGCAAGGCTGATTGCCCTGAGATGGGCCCAAATTTTGTTTTCTTTGCTTTTTAAAAACTAAATGCTGGGTTTTTGTTTCTGATGCGATGTTTGTGCAAAAGACAGCTGGTGGGGTGGTGAGAAAGTCTTCTTGGCAGCTTATCAGCCATTTGCACAGATCAATAGGAAAATAGTTGTTTGCACTTTGTTGTGGATGAAGCCGAAGGACTCTGGAGAGGGAGGGAGGGAGGAACACATTATGCTGTGTTTAAATATCCGTATCTAAATTAAGGGATCATTTCAAAAACGAAAACAAAAGATTCATGGATTAAATGTAGGATATCAAAAAGGCTGTAAGAATGACTGAGCCAACTGAGTGAGTGGATTTCCACAGGCCAGAATTCATTCCCTTCCTTTTCTTTTTGCAAATCAAGAAGCAGCAGAAGGGCAGCTCTTTGGTAAATAAAACCCAGGCTATGGAGAGTTGCATCAGTGCTGCCCTGCTAGGCTCCGGCTCCCTTGCCCCTGTGCCAGACTTCAGGGTCCTTTTCCCAGCCAAACGGCTGAGCCCGCTCACGGCCGGGGTGGGGGGTGGGGGTCTTTCTCAAGTTCCTATGGGCTTCAGAGCAGAGAAGGAAGCAGGGGGACCTCAGGCCCCTAAATGGGGTCATGGGCGGGTGGGTGTGAGTGAATTGTTCCTGGCTCAGTCCCCAAAGCGGTGGGCCTCCCTGGCCAGCTCTCTGGCAATGGGCACGCCGAACGTCTGATGGGGCTGCCCATTGATTTGGGACATCGGTGGCGGCGACTTTTATTTCTTATTTATTTATTTGCCAAACTAGCAGGCAGCTCATCTCGCCAAAAGCGACTCTCTCCAGTCCCCGGCCCGAGTCTTGGCTGGAGAAGATTGGAATCGTAGTCCAAGGTAGGCAACACCGGCGGGGCTCTCTGCCAGCCGGCCAGCTGCCCCTAAGCAGGAGGAGGCTGAGCTGGTCCCCCCGGCGCTGGGCTGCATCTTGCAGCCCGCCGGCAGGAATCCCCCGGCTGGCGGCATCCCAAGCGGAGCTGTCCGGTGTACCGCCGGGACTGGGATGTTGCCTCGTCGGCCTTCGCGTCTTCCCACCAGGCCTCTGCCTCGCCCGGGACCCTTTTGCTTGTCCCGGGGCAGATTTTCATTGGGAGACGGCAGACGCTGCCCAGCGCCCCACTCCTGCTGCAGACGGGCCCTGCGGAGAGAGGCTTCGTGAAGCCGAAGGGCGGATGAACTGGGAAGAAGGGAGGGAGGGTCCGGGCTGTGCCGGCTTCAGGGCGCCCTCTCGCGGGAGCCGACGGCGGTTCAGCGGGACGCGGCCGCTCCGCCTGGACGAGGAGCGCAGCAGGGCCGAAGGGAGCCAGCCCGTGTAGCGCAGGCGCGCTCCGGCTGGCTGGCCAGGGGGCTGCTGGGGGTTGTAGTTTAAGGCGGCGCGAGACTGCGGCTCCCAGGCCGGCGGAAGGGTGGGGCGGGCTCTTCCCCGCGCGAGGAAAACGGAGAAGGCGCTGAGGGTCCCGGCGAGGCCGGAGGGGAGCCGGCAAAATGAACGTGGTGCTGGCGGTGAAGCAGTACGTCTCCAGGATGATCGGCGACAGCGGGGCCGGCATGAAGGTCCTGTTGATGGATAAAGAGACGGTGAGCTGCAGCGGAGGGTCGGAGGTGGGGGGCGGGTTTCGTGGCGCCCCGGTGCTCCCCGCCGTGCTCGGCGGCGCCGGCGTTCAAT